TTTTACAAATTAACGTAATCTAATTTAATAACATATAAATAATAAGTTGTCAAATACAAATACGAAAAAGTAAATATTACTAACAAAACTTCGATAATTCATATCAATAATTCATTTGCTTCAAACATTCAAGTCTATATAAAAATGAAATATAAATTAGAAGTAATAAAGATAAAATATTTTAAAGTATTGATAATACTTACCAACTATTTAATATAATAATCAGTTGCTTGACTTTCCATACTAACTACTAAGAGACTATACAAGAAAAAATTGAAAAAAACACAACTAACAAACATAAATAAACTCTAAATTGTTCAACTAATAAGATTTAATAAGAAAAAAATTATTAATTTATTTAGAAAAAATAAAAGAATTTGATTTATCCAATATTAAAAAAAAAAATTCGGTTCTTATTCGGTTCTGGGTCTAGAACCGAGAACCGAACCAAACCATTCGGTTCTCGATTCGGATATCCGTTCGGGTATTTCATTTCAAAAAACCCGCTCGATTCGGTTCGGTTCCGGTTCGGTTCGGACATTTTGCCCAGCCCTAAGTAAAATAGAGGCTTAACCTAGGAACAAAAGCAAAATCAACACTTCTACATAAATGCCCAGAATGTTGTGGAAGGTAAATAGTTAATCTTTCGCCGTTTTCTCCAAACCCAAAAAGATAAAAACTCAACTGCTGGCACAGCGTTCAAGAATTGAACAATTGGCAGCAATTTTTTTAGTTTTGATATGATTTTGGCTTATTACAATCTTTCCCCAAGTTTCCTACACAACCCCTTAAATGCTCATCAATTCAACTCAGTTTCAAGAATCAATTACAGAGTACCAAAAAAATTGCAAATTATTAGTGCCCAGAAGAGATGCTTGAGGTGCAACTCTCTTTATGAAGACAAGGACAACTCCCCAACTGCTTGCTCCTTCCATGGCCACACCACTGGTATGAAAGCAGTCTCTTGTGTGTCTATATATATATATAGTGTGTGTGTGTGTGTGTGTGTGTGTGTGTGTGTGAATATATTGTAACTGAAAGGGTTTGTTCTGAAATTGGTTTAATTCTTGATTGATGGGATGCTTTAATACTTTTAAACTAAGGAAATGCTATTTGTGTTGCCTGTATGCTGTTAGTCTATACATTTGGATTTTCATACTGCCCGTTACATAACCAGTTGAGTGACAATTTATATTCTAGATACTAGGGGGCGTGCACTCGTGTGTCTGTAATTCTAATTCAAAACATGAAAATAAAGAGAAATAATTTTACACAGGTAATGTGAAGAAAGGAAGAAGCAGTCTCAGATGTATTTTCTTAACTACAAAGTTATTATTTATCTCTAACTTTGCTTTTCGCATATGCTCAAAGCAGGGTGAGAATCAAATAATCATGTAGAACTGTGAATCTTCAGAAATATTTGCCCTTTAAATCTTATAATTTATGTTCATATAGAAATAGATTTAAGATGGTGTAGATCAATTAAATGGATCACAATCTTGCATGTTGGATGTTGTGGAAGGGGAAGTATGGCAACAGGAATAAAATTTCTATCAAAGAACCAGGAAAAAAGAGATATCCTCTGCCCATTTTAAATGGCATGAACGGCCCTTTACTGCTAAAACGAGAAAACTCCTCTGTTCCCCTGAACCCATGGAGGAGAGGAGGGAGGGGGATGTGCAGGGCATAGTGATTGCTATACCTTTCATTCCGATTCTTGCCCCTATCACGATCACATTTCCAACCTTGTCTTCCATTAACAACCCACTACTTCCATCTATCAGAATTATTATGATCCATGTAATATTATATAGTATGTTTGGCTGAAAAAGCTCACTGATAATGGCAGGTCTGGCTGAAATGAAAGATTTACGTTGCATTCCATCTAGATTTAGTTCTTTAGGCCAATGCTATAGAAATATTGTTTGGCTCTGATTTTTCTGGGTCTGGGTAATAATAATCAGTATCCGTTTGTGTCATTTGGTTAATATGTATCAACTTATTTGGAAACAAGCGTTCATCAACTTAATGTAAATGCTTTTGCATTGGAGATAAAATTATAACTTATACTGCCTAGGAATCAGATAAAACCTAGATATTTTTCCGTAGTGCTTAAGAAATGGTACAAAAGGTTCAAAAATTGTGGTTGCACCGGTATCAAGACTTGTATACATTCTGCTGAAATTCGAATAAGAGTGGCTTCTTCACAAATAAGAAATATTTGAGTTGTGATTGAGTAGAAATGTGATTAAACTTCTTTTGGTTCTCCTTTTCGTTCTTGATATACAGCTATCAACTTGCCATGAGATCGTAAGCTGGTCGCACATCCATTATCAACAGGGGTAGGGTAATGGCTGCTATGTGCTTTCCAAAGTTTTTGAAGTTAAAATGCTCCCTGTTAGATGAAGGAATAGCGTTTATTGTGTCAGTTTTTACCTGAGTTTTATTGAAGAGGTTACTTGTGAATATCTGTAGCCTCCTCACACGAAAACATAGGGAAATGAAATCAGAATTGAACTTCCAAGGCATTTGTGTCGAAATGTTAACATGGAAAATCGAGTCCCTGAGGATTTTGAGTTGTCTGATTCATACAAAAATTTATAAATCTGTGCAGATTAAATGGTCCTTTTAAATCCAGAAATCTTGGAAGTTGAACTGAGTCATCTTGAAGTAGCTTATTATATTAACCCACTTTTCCAAATGTCTCTATAGCTCTTGCTTTTCATGAATATATGTATTCATAGAACATGGTCTTATTAAAATTCGTTCCTAGATAACCTCTGGCATGTTGTAACCATCTGGAAGCTACCTTCTCAAATACGCAGGGGAGAAGGGATTATTTTCATTAGCACCACCTCACCAAGGAATTGACGGGGAATGGAGTGATAAATCGGGAGTGATTGTTTACAAATGGAATGAGAAAGACAACAGACCAAACACTGGCATATCCAACTGGAAAAAAAGATGGAGCTGTTGTGCTGAATATGACGAAAATGCTGCACCTTGTCGACAAGGATGGCACGTCTCTTACGATGATGGCTTCACCTTGTATTAGTTGCTGTCTCTCTCTAATTCTCTGCAAAGAATAAAATAACACTCGAATATGAATTAGAAAATATGACATAGTTACTTGCCACGTTGAATTAGAAAAATTAGCCCACTTCAATTTGAAATTTTAGCCTGCCTCTCGATCAGCCCTTGCTAGTAGAATTTCAAATTATCTAGTTCTTCATTTTTCTATCTTTCTTTTCTTATCGTCTTGTTTTCTCTTCTTTCTCTATCTCATGGTACATAAATTTGAATCTAGCACATGATTGCAGTTCAAGTATATAATTTTTTTACCATCTCAACACATAATGATGAAAGAGCAATGCTTTCTAACAGCAGTGTTGTTACTGGTATGGGGTTGGGTTCACTGCATTCAATTGGTTGAAATTTGTAACTTCTTTATTCTAATCAATTGAATGCAGTGGATTCCAATGTCATGTAGACTGTTACTTTACATGATTGGAATCAAATAGCATTACTCATAGGAAACCATTAGTAGCTTTTCGAGCAGGGATATAAGAGAATTGTGTGTGTGTGTGTGTGTGTACACACAAGTATGTCAAGGAAAGAGGAATATTTGAGAGTAGCCCAGTGACTTGCTCTATGGTCTTGACAAGAGCACGTGTGGGAAATGTTTATGAATTGTTTAAATTATAAATAGATAGAAAGAAAAAAAAAAAATGGGTAGTACTTGTGAGCATAGTTATTAGACCTGTTCCGGACATCAATTTGGATGAGGTACTAGATTTTGAATTACTATTCGAACTGGTGGGTCAGTGATCGGGTCAGCAAATCATTGCTTAAAAATTATTTTAGAAAATTTAAAGTATAAACTTATTTATTGAGGCAAAATTAAAGTTATTAAATTATTTGTCACTAATTATTTTTAAGTCTGTAAAATATTGAACTGTAACTTTTAAAAATATTTTTAGAAAAATATAATTGAGTCATGAGATATATTGCACAAAAATATGAATAAAGTATTGTGTGCTCTAGTGGTGAGGAGCCAAACATTATCTAGAGGTTCATGTTCAATACTTCAATTCCATGGACCCAAAAAATTTTAAAAACAATTTGGGCCAGCAATTTATAGTAAAACTGTTGGTTGACCCGGTCGAAGCCCCATTTTGACCGGGTCACTTGCATTCATCTGAATTGGTCTTGCCCCAGCTCGGGGCAGGGCTCGGTTTGTCAGGTTCCTAATCGGTCTGGACGACTGGACCGAGTTTAATAACATTGCTTGTGAGTTCTTCAAACTCAAATTTTGTGGATAAAAAATGACATTTAGTATTTATAAACATGAGCTAATAACTTGATAGCTTAAATCATTTCTACATCATAATAGATACATTAATAAGAGAATATAAGTCCATGATCTTTTCACTACATTAATCAGACGAAAACTTGTTGACTATGATCGAAAATGATGGTAATCGTTACCCCGTTATCGAAAATAAATGATTGATCAGAATTCTTGACTTCATCGTACAATGGAAAACGTTGAAGAAACTGTTACGAAAATAAGGAAACAAAGTATTTTAGAAAAATCAAGATGGGAAATTTATGGCCAAATTTTTCATTTATTATTGAAAAATTATGCCATGGTGAATCGAGATTTTATTTGTGAGACGTCAGATAGGAAGATAACTGATAACCTGTTCAAGGAAGTGATAAAATGAGAGAAAAAAATCAATTAACTTTTATTAATCATCAATTTAAGTCGTTTTTTTCTTTTTTTGAATGATTTTAGAATTAAGAACGTGTTTGATTGCATTTATTTTCCATCATATTTTGAATTATTTGATTGTTATTTTTTCTATGGAAATATGTTTCAACTTTTAAAAATATGCGAAAAAAATTTTTTTTTTTAGGATATATTTTCCATGCTAATTAAACACAATCTAAAAAATTTAAATTGAATTCTAGAAATCGAGAATTAAAAATATTATTGTAACAGACATAAGTACACGAATGAATAACAAATACACCAATACAGATGCAAGTACACAACAAAGTATCAAGTATACGATCTCACTTATTCCTCTCTATATGTAACCTAACACATGAATAATAATAATAATAATAATAATAACAACATCACTGTAAAAAATGCCCACAAAAAGGAAAAAGAAGAATCCAATCCCCCTGTGTAAGAATCAGTCTGAACATGATAGATGAATGATCTAGTTCTTGATGAGGGCCAAAACAGACACCACCAATGAAGAACAGATGATAGCCCCTGAAACTGCCAACAAGTTTCCGGCACCCTCGTCAGGCGCCGGCGCCGGTGCCGACACTTCTTGGGCCATTACAGCTGACAAAGTTGCCATAATTGCTACAAGCACCAAAACACCCTTTAAAATTTCCATTTTAATGTGCCTGTATCAACTCAAAAGATAGCGAGGCTGATAAGTAGAAATGGCCGAAGAAACTTAACTCTGTGTATGTTCTTGTACGTTCAAGGGGGTTTATATAGGTGGAAGAGGCGGTGGGGTGGGGCCATTAAAAGCGTGGACACGTGGTGACAGAGGACAAGCCAGAGTGAGGACAGAGGAAAAGATTGAGAATTTGGTTTTCTATGTCCGGGTAAATTTCATCTTCGGTCACTGAACTTCTAGCATAATTTCAATTGGGTTACTGTATCTCAATTTAGTTTCAAATTTAATAATTGTGTCGAATCCCGTTGTCTATCATCTCCAAATTGATTCAATTTACTCAGTTTATGATCACACCACATTACACAGTGTGCTAATAAGTTGACATGTTACGTAACGATTACATGATATTAAATAATTTATCAATTTTAGAGACATTAATTCAATTACCATGATTTAAATTTCATGAGAGAAGTAGAGAACAATGATTTGAAATCGATTCAACTAAAAGGATCGAATTGATGTTGAATTGAAGTTAAACTAGTGATAAAAATTAAAGAAAAATGTCGGTTCTTAATTTATTTTTCTCATACGGAAATCGGACGAATTTTCAGTTTTAGTCGATGGGGTCTGATTTTCAAAAGACGAGAAAGAAGGGGGTGGGGGTTTGGAAATTGGGAGTTCGGCGGCTCTACGTCTCTTAGGGCGGCGACAGTGGCCATGTTAGGCCACATGGCACATATTGGTTTGGTAGTTTAGCTAATTATGGAATAGGTCAAATTGTAATTGGTCATAATTTAAATTTATAAGTTTGATATTTCTTTTGTCACGAAATCGTCCGTAGATTTTAGCTGCTATTGACTTCTCTTCTTCGTTAGATTTTACTTTTTCATAATTCTTTTTAATCAGAAGAAAGAATCAACGTATGAATTAGAAACTGTGGGTTTATATCTTGTATAAGTGGAATAATAACTTCTTGAAATTACTTTTTTTTCTCATTTATAATAAAAGTTTGTTCTACGGTACCTTAAAGCATGTTTTGAAGTTATTTAATAAATGATTTAAATTATAAATACAGTCTGACTTTTCTAAACTAACGTCCTAATATTTAGTAACTTCCAATACTTTTATAGGTAATTTAGGGCACGTTTGAACCCTTTTTTTTTGTGTAGAATATATTTTGGAATAGCAGATTGATGGAGAATGTGTGGTTTAAAATGAATGAAATTTTTTTGGATTGTGTGTAATATTATTTTATTGAAAAATGTGTCGTTGAAAAAAATAGAAAAAAAATATATTTTGAAAAAAAAAATAGAGATCAAACAAGATATTAATATTTCTGCTAACTAATAATTAATACAACATATCAAATAAAATTAATGAATAGAATCACGTTCCTTATACGACCATCTATCTAGAGTAGTATTTTTTCTTTTCCCTGATTTTCCTGATCTCGAACTCTATATCTCGATCCTAATAAGGTATTTGTGAAAAACTCTAAACCTTTTATTCCATTTTCACTTCATATTAGGTTTAATGTAAATATGTATCATGATGATTAATTTTAGAATTAAGTAAACTATTATTAAGTCTTGTGATAGAACTACGAGCACAAACATGTGAACTGAACGAATACAATTGTCATAACATTTCTATTCATATGTGTTTCTTTGAAATGAAATCTCACTTACAAAAGAATATTCTCTTCAAGAAAAAAAAAACTATAGTTACTTGCGAAAAGATGTGTTTTATACATGTATGAAAATGAAATAGGTAACCCTATCTCAAAGAACATGTCTTGTAACAAAAATTACTACCATCATAGTTTAAGTTGACAAAAATTGCATTGCACATGTTGCAAAACTTTGTTTCGTGTTTCAACGACTCATTAATAGATAAAATTTCAGATCATGAAATTTACTATTATCATACTCTAATTTAATAACTATATGTATCTTGTCTTGTATTGTATCACGTGTTACTATTTGCGAGTAAGAACTAAAGTAATGATGTTTCATAACTCAGTCGGAGAATAGTCAATGAAATATTTAAATGAGAAAAAAATTCAAATTTCATTGAAACTACATTCTAAAATTTAAAGCAATTCATATTGAACCCCTCCCCAAGATGGCATAAGAGAGAGTCAATATTTTAGGACAATTGAAACTAACAATATTCATAAATCATTCTTGCTTGGTGCACAACATTTTTGAATGAGTTTGTTGTCGGGAATGGGGTCTGTATCTGTTTGAGGATGTCGTAGAGGCCCATTATGGTGGTGGAGTAGAGTGATTGGCGGAGGACGATGGCGGTGAAAGTGGCGGTGGCGAGTCGCGGTGGCGAGTCGTGGTGGCCAAAAAGTTTATTTTGTTTGATTTAGAGTGAGATGTGGGTGGGGTGAAGAAGAGAGATAATAAACTGTTTTCTTTTGTTTTATTTTTATTTTTGTTTATTTAATATGGTAAATAGCAAAATTACTATTTTACCCACTATAAATTTGATCAAAATCAATTCATTTTGTCAATTAACGATCAAATTGAATGTTTCAGCCATTTGAATTTCTGTTTCATATTTTTGAAAGGTTTGGAACATGTAGTGGCACAAAGTGAAGATTGAGGTAAAATCTATAAAAAAAAAATGGAAAAAATTAGATATCGTTGCTGCAATTTTTCCTAATTTATATTATATAGCAAATTAAAAGATTTGAGATATTCGCTATATTTCTCCCATAAAAATAGAAAGAAAGCCTAAACAAATGGACAATTCGTGTTTCTGTAGGCTGAACGATCCGTTGTACTTCGCACCATGCTTTAAGTCGGTTCGATTAAAATTAAATCAAGCAAAGCATGCCACGTGTGATGTGACAGTGTCCATTTTAAATAGTTTAAAAATATTTTAAAATGACAGATCATATACCATCACACGTAACCCATTTTCACTTTACAATAATCCTGTGCACTCGATTCATTTCCTTTTTGCTACAACTTAATTTTTTATTGGCTGTAATAGTAGAGGATCAATCAGAAATTGAAACGTGTAGACAGAACTAATAAGTTGTAGATAGAGGATAATTATTTCATTTCTTGTCATTTTTAAACTCTGTACTTCTCAAGATCCTATCTCATATTTATACTGGCTTGTCTCTTCTACGTTTCTCTCATCATTTCCTGTTCGCTTCTAGGGTTCGTCTCTCTATATTTATCTGTACATATATTTATATATCGTAGATGTTTACGCGTATGATCAATTTGACGGTGTGAATACGATTAATTGTTTGTGATTGTAACATTTTGATTAATTATTTTCTGTTTTGTTGTATAATATTTTATAGGGAATTAGAAGTGGAATATCGGACAAAATATTCTCTCGTCTCCTCCGCGAACAGGTTAGTGTTAGTGTGCACTTGCTCTTTCTGTTAAATTATTTTTGTATGTTTTGGGTATAATATACGATTTTTGTAATGAAGCTGATGAATTGAAATGATTATTCAGTGGCTCTTTTAATTTTTTGCATCTATAGTTTGGGTTTTTGATTTTTTGTGATAAAAGAAAATTATTTTATAAGGTCCATCGAGAACCGAAAAGAGAAAAATTAGATTCTTTATGATTACCCTGATTTTTGTGGATATTTATTATTCAGTAATATCCTAATGCAAAAATCAATGTTAAGAGCTTCACAAGAGAGGTAAAAGAAAGAACTTGTTGCCTTATAAAGACCAATTGAAGGTATAAGACAATTATAAATCTGTAGGAAAATTGACAAAATATAGTTAGCCCGATTTTTATGGATACCAATTTGTCAATTTTTATCCAAATATAGAAATCAAGGTTTAATGGTTAAGGATTCTAGTTTTGGAAATTTGTTTTCTTAGCTATATTGCAATATTCATTCAACCGTGTTAGCATCATCAGGATAGGGCCCTTCTATATTGGGTGATTGGTAAGTTGTTAATTTTGCGGAAGATGTATGAATTGTGGGCCAGCTAATCCTATTCTTGGTCATTTTGAATGCAAAGAAGTCAATTGTAGCTCTAAATACTTCTGTTAATTGTTGTTGGTTCTTGTAACCTGACTTTCTTTTCTTCGACTGCTCATTGTTATCCCTTTTTGCGGTTTCTTCCAACGCCCCTTTCTGGTTGCGCACAGTTTTTTTTGTTTTTTTTGGGATGGTGATGATGATTTTAGTTATTAAGGGAAACTTAAGAAAAATTTATTTGCAAGGTTAATGAATGTACCATCCCTCTCCCAGTTTGGACTTTGGACCGTTGGATAATTTTAAGTTGATTTTATTTTTAGATTTTTTTTGTGAACGGTTGTTTGCAAAAATTGAAGCCTAAATCAAACCACTTTGAAACGGTTTGGTTTGTTTCAATATCAAAATGTTGACAGATTCACTTGGATCCAAACCAACGGTTTTTAGAAAGAGATTTCAGTTTGCTTTTGCGGTTGGATGATTTCGTTGTTCAGCCTTACTTCTCAGTCTAAATCTACCTTATAGCAGAAACTACAATATGTGCTGAAATACCAAGTCTCACTCTTAGTGTTTCTTTCTAAGTCAATCTCTTTTGCTTTCTCCTGTGTAGAATTGGAAGAAGTTTTTTCACCTTGGTCCCGAATTCCCAGGGAATACGCCACTCGCCGAAAATAATCAGATATTCATCTAAGACAAAATCATAGTTTTCCCTTCATTCTTTGAATTTTTTTTTTTTTTTTTAATTTTTTTTTCTATGTATTTTTCTGTATATTCCATGACTGAAATTAGTATCAGCCGACTCAAGAAGCAATATCTTGTTTAGTTAAAATCTATTTAGGCAGAATATGAGGAAGGATCAAGTTTTACAAAGGCAGTTGTAATTTTTTTTTTCTTTAGGAAGCTTTTTGGTACGTATCTTTTCTGCATATTTATCATATTTTATTAAGAATGCGTTGCATGTAATTCTTATGCCGTTGAAGATGATTTTCATACTCATATATGCTAAATAGTACTAGCATCAAATGAGTTTCCATTCCGTACATTCCTTTTAGCACCTGAAATTCCCCCCACCACAAGGGGAAAAAAATGCACATGAGCATGACTAAACTAATGGAAAATTTATTTATACCTTCTCTTTGAGGTAGCTGGGGAGAGATGTAGGTCTGTTATGGACATAACCTACCTTTTTATGCAAATAAAGTTTAATATAGTTATCTTATCACTATTTAGGAGTTAAAACTCTGTCTTTATCCATATGATTGTGTGCATGTGACCTGAGCTGACTTGCAATATTGTTTTGTATTGTTTTCTAAGAGAAATTTTACTTGTCCGGTTTTTCTTGAATGCATCATTCTATTTGAAGCTGTAATTTGAAAATAAGCAAAAGTGTAAATCGAGTGGCTAGGATAGTTCCTGCACAGTTAAGCTAATGATGATTGATAATATTTTATGAAGAATGTGTTACGTGCAATTCTTATGCCATTGAAGGTGATTTTCTTAGCTATTTATGCTAAATAATGCTACCATTCAGGGAGATTCCATTCCATATTTTCTTTTAGCATCTGACATTTGCTTCCCCCAGGAAACATGAAAGAAAAGAAGGAAATGTGCACACGAGAATGACTGAACTAATGGGAAATTTATTTATACCTTCTCCTTGAGGTCTCTGGAGTGAGGTGTTGTGGGTCTGCTATGGACATAAGCTGTCTTTTTGTGCAAATAAAGTTCAATGCAGTTATCTTATGACTGTTTAGGAGATAGAAGAACGGTGTCTTTATCCATCATGATTTACTTCTGATGGGAGAGCATGAAACCTAGTAGATCTGTGCTGTAGTAGTATCATGAGCAGACTGCTATATTTTTAGTTTTTTTTTTTTTTTTCACTTTTTTAGATTAAGTTATTAGTCCGCCTTTTTCTTGAATGTATCTTTCTGGTAAAAATGTAATTTTTGAAAATAGATGTGTAAATGAAGTGATATGATGGCTTGTGCAACGTCAAGCTAATGATAATTGATCATATTTCGAGGAATGCATTATATGCCATCGAAGGTTATTTTCAAATCCATTAACAGTAAATGATGCTTCCGTCCAAGGAAGTTCCATTCCATATATTCTTTTAGCACCTATTATTTGCCTCCCCCTAAGAAAAACAAAAGAAAGATAAAAAACACGAGCATGAATAAGCTAATGAAAAATTTCTCGTACTTTTCTACTGCAGGTTGCTGGAATTAGATGATGTAGGTATTTCATGGGCATAAGCTACTTTTCTATGCAAAAACATTCAATGTTGTTATCATATGACCATTAGGAGTTAAAAGTAGACTTAATCCATTACTATTAGCTTCTGAATATAGAATGAGATCTAATAGGGATGTGTTTGCAGTATCTTGCCATCTTGAGCTGGTCTTGCTATATTGTTTGTATTTATTTTTAGAGAGATGCTGCAGATCCAGGGCCAAAACCAGGCCCAAATCCAGGGGGCAGAGGTGGATGCACCTCGGCCCTTGATTTTAATTCATGTGGGGTCCTCTTACTTTAAATCAGGGGCTGGGTGATGACACCTCAGCCACCTGGATTCTGGTCGGTCCTTCACCCTGGCCGACCAGCATTTTTCTTATTTTTAAGATCAATTTTACTGCTCCCTTTTCTCTTGAAAGCATCTTCTTTGTGAAGTTGGAATTTGAAAATATGTGGGTGTAAATGAAGTGATTACAATAATTCGTGCAACATGAAGCTTATTATGCTGGCTTATAGAAGCTCCTTGTTGATAGTTTGATCTATTGGGTGACTATGCATTATTCTCTTCTTGCAACAGAAACTTAAATAGTGTGGTTGTGCATTTTGTCTCTGATATATTTTCTGTTTGCTTTTGAGAAAACATGCCAAGCTTTTACACTGTATGTTGAGTGCATTTTAACTCCGAAGTCGTGTTGCAATCCATGGAAGAAACGGGCTGTTGATTTTATAGGGTTTACATTATTGTTACTTTTATGATGATTCATTATATTACTTTGCGGCAGGAAAATCTGAAAGATGGAGCAAAATGAGACTGGGTGCCAAGCTCCTCAAGCTCCAGTCCTTTGTGTCAATAATTGTGGATTCTTCGGAACAGCAGCAACCATGAATATGTGCTCCAAGTGTTATAAAGACGTGGTTTTGAAGCAACAACAGGCCCAGCTTGCTGCTTCATCGATTGAGAGTATTGTGAATGAGAGCTCCAACTCTAATGGAAAGGGTTCAACTGTTTCCATACTTATTGGTGTGCAGACCACTTCACCAGATACAGTTATTGCATCAACACAAGTGTCCGCTGTATCACCAGCAACTGAGAAAAGTGAGGAGGTTAAAGAAGGTCCAAAAAGGTGCAGCACCTGTGGAAAGCGTGTTGGCTTGATGGGTTTTAATTGTCGATGTGGCAATCTTTTCTGTGCTGTTCACCGCTACTCCGACAAACATGAATGCCCCTTTGATTATCATGCAGCTGGTCAGGAATCTATATCCAAATCCAACCCAGTTGTTAGGGCCGAAAAGCTTGACAAGATATAGTGCATGTGGAGTAGTTGCTCATGAACCAAGACAAGGTTGTCTTGTGTAGAAGGCTCAAGTGTTCTATTAAGCGTCCTAGATCGTGAGTGGTTGAATTCAGTAATAGGGCGTCTTTCCAACCTAGAACTCTATTAGTCTCGTTTACCAGTAAGGATATAAGCTTATGGGCCTGTGTCTAGTGCTTGTTTGTGCTTTTGTCTGATGGTCTTTTCTGCTATTATCTTTGTATTCGACTTTCTTGTGGTGTGGCTTCTACATATAATAATCTATTTAGCTGTCTCATGTCAGTCATATCCAAGTGGGTTGCTGATGCCTTAGTACAAGTTCTGTTTTTGCTTCCCAAGAGTTGGTTGTGTAGTAAATTCTTTTGCACTAGTTCGTGGAGCGATATTGTGGTGGGTTAGTAGAAGATTTGGTCTTGTTTGTTTTGTGGGTTATTTGCCAAACGGGTTTAGTTTACTAATGAGGGGAGAGATTTGGGAAATACAAACTGGGAATATTTTGGAACTCCTCTTATGGGATTTCATCGCATCATAGTCATCTGGCGTTGACCATACTGTAACTATACTTACAGTAGCATAATATGCCAGTTTTGTTTTCAGTGAACTGGAAAATGCTTAGAAATGTCTATTCCATGTGCAGAGCGCTCACAGCATCAGGCAATTGTATGGGTGCTGCTGGATCCTATAGCCAGCCAAAAGGTGCGTGAATTTCTTCTATTACTCCATTGAATGCTACGGACTACTTTTTCAATACAAGTATCTCGTCCTCTTGATTGACAACCTCCGTGTGAAGTTCCTTTATGTCGTTGTTTTGAGTCCTATTTTTGGAGAATGAAGTTTGTAATAAGTGATTTTTTTGAATAATATGTTTTCGAAGAGTAGAAAAAAATTTTGAATTTATATACAAAATTATTTAATTGAAAGAATGTATTTTTAGAAATGAGTCGAAAAACAGTCATGCTCCACTAACATCTCAAATGACATCTTGGATGACACAACGTCATGGCAGATTCATTGAATTGTTTAAAAATAGTCTAATGTCATTCAATCATTTTTAATTCATTTTTAAAAAATAAAAAAGAAAGTTTTAAAGATTGAGAATCGAAGGGGGCAGGATCAACACATTGTAAAGATGACACGTTCACTTCTGCATGGATAATTTACCCACGTAAAGTAGGTTGAATAATACTATGTATATATTCCATGGTTGACATTTTTTTTTCTTTTTATGACATGCTGTGTTTTCAAAATGGAAATGGGTAGGGAAATAGGTTTTTTTTTTTTTTTTTAAACTGGCGAATGATGCATTGATATGTGACACAATGTAAACAATGATGTACATGTAGCATGATTGAAGTAGGTTTGAGCTGTAAATTTTCATACAACGGGGAACGACTAGATGGTTCTTGTTGGGGTAAATTTTATATGTTCACTGAATTTTTAGTAAAATCTCAATTGAGTCACTAGATTTTAATTTCTCAATTGAATTTTCGAACTTTGTTCGTAATCATATGTTGAATTAATAGAATTACTTGGTTGATAGGTTAACATAACTGATTTCGTAGTACTTTAGAATTAAAAATTATAAAATGAGAGTGATGATAATATCTTTAAACTAAAAAAATTAAACTGTATGTTTTCATGTATGTAATGGTGAGTTGGCATGTTATGCAATTAGAAAGTTTCAATATGGTATACTTATGAACTAAGCAATTTTCATTAATTTGAAAATGAATTAGAAGTTCAATTACTATATTGAAATTAAATCTAATTTACATCATGTTTCGGCCCCATTAAAATTTTAGAGTGTATTTGGTAGGAATTTTTGGGGGAAGAATTAATTTTTGAATAGTGATATGATGGGAAATGTGTGGTTGAAAGAGAAGAAAAAAGTATTGATGTGATGAGAAATATTATTTTATTGAAGAATCTGTGGTTGAAAATGAGAATTGATTTACTGTAGAATATGAGAATCTGTACCAAACATGCTCTTAATACGTTTTTATCCCTCTTCTTTTCAATCACATTTTCAATAAAATAATATTACACGTAAACCGCAAACTTTTTCTTCTTTTTCAACTATACATTTTTCAAAGTTGGGCAAGACATCCTTTTGCCAAAGGCTCTCACGGTTTGTCTTTTATTAAAAAATGATTGATACGCAAGACATGTTTATAATGTTTATTGAAAAATCAACGGTCCATATCGATTGGTAGACTGTATCCTATTATAAAAATCACTAAACTTTCTAATTTTCAATAGTAAAATTCAAGGATTTGGTGAATCGCGATATGATTCACTGTGTCAAACCAAACTCCCAATGCCGTGAACGTTCATTACAACTAAACAAATATTAGTTTGACATTGTGGAAAGATATTCTTTTGGTAAAACGTAAACGTCTTTTGGAAAGTGGAAACAAGAAGGTGACAATGATGAGGTTATTCTATTGTTACTGCTCAATGGGCCTTTGAGTTAATGACTACTTTTCATTAGGGAGAGCAATATGGGAGGTTGGCATGCTGCTACTTGTCTCTCTTTTCTTCATAATATATTTTCACATTTTTTCCTTTATTTATATTTTACAAATAACCTTGCGTACATGTTGTACATGTTTAGATTAGGTTATGTCATTAGTGATATCAACGAGTCGAGCCGAGCCCGAGCTTTTTTTGACCGAGCCGAGCAGAGCCGAGCCCATCCAAAAAAAATGAGGCTCGGCCCGAGCTTTTAGCCCAAGCCTTAGCAGGACGAGCCGGCTTGATTTTTTTGATTTTTTTTTTCCTAGCTGCCTGCTGACTGCAACCAGGCAGCAATTTGCCTTCCAAATTTATTTATTTTTTATTATTTTTTTTATAGTAGGCTCGCCCGGGCCACGGGCCGGCCTAGGCTCGAGCAGACTCCCCAAAGTGGGGCTCGGTCTAGCCGAGCCCGAGCCGTCCGAGCCTTCGAGCTTTTTTGCCACCGCTACGTGTCATGTTGAAATTTATAAGAATAAGGTGCATCTTCAAGTAAAAGTAGCGTATTCATCGATAATCAAGTCTCTTATCATAATCGATCGAATATTTTTCAGAATGAGTGGGGAATTTACCTTGTCATACTTTCATATATAGAGCTCATAAAACAAGATTAATTCAACCCTGAAAAATACTCCATCAGAGCATCTAAAAAATTATCTCTTTACTATGTAATCAATATTATACACAATTTTATTGATCGACGAAAGTCCATCTTTGTTAAAGCAAACTTTAATGTTGAAGTGTAATAAAGAAGACAACATTTATGTGAAAGCAATCCACTATAATAAAAAAATATGTCGACATATAAAAAAAAGGGAAGAACACATCAAGGTCCCGTCTTTCTCCTACTTTTTCCATCGTCCAGCTCAAGAATAATCCTATTTTTTTAATTCATCAAAACTATTTATAAAAAGAATTAGATAGGATAAACTCAACCTCGTCAACTGATTGTAAAAGAACTGCATCCATTCACTAAGAAAGGAGATGGCCTGCTGTGTGATTTGTCAGGTTGAACCTTTTCTCGAAAGGTAGACTAAAAGAGAAGTATATCTTAGCAACCTAAAGAGCGTATCAGTGTTTCAAGAATCATATCATTTTTTTAAGAATAATGTTATTTGTAGTCGCTCACCGCCTTAGTCGTCTTACGTGACATATATACTACGATTAATAACTTGATCCACGAGATAATTAAAAAATTATTATATTAATGCATTAAATTAGTAATCGTTGATGTGGAACATGTAGGATGACTAGGATGGTGCTGGACTGCAATACTGTTCCAATTCTGCGGCAGTCGCAGCATTAATAAATAAAAGAAGAAAAGAGCTGTTAAAGACACAGCAGGAGCAGGTACATGAATGCTGAACAAAGAGGTTGACCCCATGGGGACCACACATCACAAAGTATGAATAGACAAGCGTTATATGAGAAGGAGTCGCACTTTCCCTTAAAACTACAATTCCGGGACGCGGAGAGACGACATCCACTGTTTCTTTCCTACCCAATTAAAACTATAAACATGGTACAATCATTGGACGACGTGTGTCTGCCACGGCCAAGTTTGTGAGCTGGTCAGAGTGGGCGGCTGACATGACTATGCCTTTCTTTCTTATTTCTCTCTCAACAAAAAAAGTCGTGGGGTACAATATGGCGTCATCAATTTCCCATTGAGTAATGTTATTCATCTCGAGTGAGGATGAAAACATAGTTTATATGAATTTAAATGATAGGTTAAATGAAATGTGAAATTACTTATCATTTAATGCCACATTGACGCCATATAAATTGCATTTTCATCCTTAATGAGGATGAATAGCATTATTCTTTTCCATTTCGCCCTTCGAAATATAAGCTGACACCCTTTCTTTCAATAATTTTTTATTCCGATTTTTGCATTTTTACTATTATTTGCATGCATATTCACCATTTCTTTCAAAATTCTATTCCAACTCCAAATCGCATCATAAAGTATATATATTCTAGGGATTGTATTGGCATAGCCGCATAGGCCTCTTCGTAAATTTTAATGTCTTATTATGATCTTAATCATCGCACATGAGAAGACCGGGTAGGAATCCTCATTTCCCGCATCACTAACCTCGACTAATTAGAAAGTACGCCCAATTAAGGTTGGTGCACAATAGGGATCGAGAATAGTGGATTTTATGTCATCCCTAATGTTTTCTCCTCTTTGATAATAAAATAAAAGTAGTATATCTGATATTAAATTAAAAGAGTTTTTTTTTTTATTTTTTGGTTTAGTTATTTTTACTAGTATTCGGTGTACAAGATTTTGTAATATAGTAAAGGGATTAAATTTACTATATTTAGTATTTATAAACAATGATACTGGATTGGATATGATTGAACAAGATTAAAGAAGTCATGTATAAAGCGTAATTATTGATCATCTAATTTTAATCCTCTCTATTTTTTGATATTCTAATACTTGATTTTTTTAATTTTTTTTTATGTTTGTTAAGTATTATAATGAGTAAGAGGATAAAAGGGTAATCTTGTGAAAATATTCCCTCACCGAACCCAACCCAACCCAACCCAACGAAAAAAATAAAACTATCTAATACAGGGTGCTGGAGCACACGTTTACGCGGTCACGTTTAATAAATTTAATTAGATGAACATTACATTTAAATAAAATAAATCTATCGTTTCATAACATATTATTACTAAACATATTATTACTACTCTAAGGTCCCGTTCGGGAGGAATTAAAAGTCAATTAAAATTGAAAATATGGCCGTTATTGGGTCCCACTCGTCTAATAAAAGTCAACAATAACGACTATATTTTTAATTTTAATCTGATTTTAATCCCTTACATACAAGGCTCTAAGAGGTGCTTGATACAAATGGTGTTGAATAAATATCTAATTATTCTACATAAACTCTCTCCCTCTCTCTATAACAGTAGTCAAAATTAAAATATCCTGCAATGGTAATGGGTGAGGATTAACACGTCAGTCCTGATCTAGAAGCACCCTCCTCACCTAAAACACCACCTGTTCTTATTATAAAAAAGGTCACGAGTTCGTTTCCGTCCATTCACGCCTCCTCAATCCGCGTCTCCATTTCCCCCCTTCAAAATCCAACCCACAAACCAATTTCTCCTACTCCCCTCTTACCTTTCACGTTTCCTCATAGTCAAATTCACGAAGTTTTTTTCTGGTAAATTTTTGTAATTATGGCCCAAAAAACAGAGAAAGAAGAGACGGAATTCAAAGTCGTACCGGAGACAATCACGCTTTGTGTTAAATGCGGCGTTGCTGGTAATTCTGCGGCCAATGATTTGTGTAAGAAATGCTTCGGCACCGCCTCAGCTGGCTCCGCTTCCGCAGTGGTCACGGCGGCGGCCGGATCTAAGAAATTATTTAGATCCAGCTCATCCTCGAGGTCTTCGCTGGAGAGGAAATTCAATCCGGTTCAGATCAGTACGGATTTGAAGAAAGAGGATTCGGTTTCGGTGGAGGCTGTGCCGTTGAAGCGGGAGGTGAATCGGTGCTCCGGTTGCCGGAGAAAGGTAGGTTTGACAGGATTTAGATGTAGATGCGGCGAGCTCTTCTGCGCCGATCATCGTTATTCCGACCGGCATGATTGCAGCTACGACTACAAGGCCGCAGGACGAGAGGCCATCGCGAGGGAAAATCCGGTGGTTAAAGCAGCAAAAATAGTCAAAATTTGAAGAAAAAATTATCGAATTTATACGCTTATGTATCAATCCAGAAGCACGTGAAGTAAAATTAATTGAAATTGATCAAAATTTGGAGAGCATGGCTCGATCTTCATCGTTGACGGATCCTATATAGAAAGAGGACGTGAAATTGAAAGGGAAAAGAGAGAGACAGAGTGGAAATTCGACGTTCCTTTTCCTTCTCATCTTCTGGTTTTGTTTAATCTTATGTTGTAATTTATTTTCTGTTTAAATCAAAATGGAAGGTTGTGCTTTCAAATATATATACGCGTGCTGCAGTTTCAATTTCTGGGTTTCTTTTTTGGAATAATAAAAAAAAATTGCTATTTAATAATTTCTCTGACACAGCATTCCGTGTTTCATGCTTTACAGAAAGAAGGGCAGCCTTTTGAAAATTCGGGTTCCAGTTGAGGGTAATTTCGTCATATGAAATAGAAACTACGGCCCACGTGGGGCAAGCTATGTGAGTGATCTTATGATCGTGATAAATTGCCCTACGAATTATTATCGCTTCCTTTCTTTATTTTATGTTAGAATTAAAATATACAAATATTTTAAGATATTCAATTGATTTCTGAACGTTCACGTTATTATGGTCATATTAGAACAATCCACCATAATACATCTTAATCCAATTCTCCGTATGGGTTCTGAAAGACTCAGTCAAAACAATGAAAATCTTGTGAATATAAAGGAATTGAGAGGAAGTGAAAAATGATGCTTTGATACTAATTTTGGCTGTTTTGTTTTGGATGCAATGCACTTTGAGCAAATGTAAGTTCAGCCCTAAACCTAGAGAGTGCAACACTGACTGGCTAGACACGAGGTGTTGACACATAACATAGAATCTCTAGTAGGACATCAACACATGTAGAGAAGTCGTCAAATTAAAAATAGTCGTGTAGTTTCCGAAGAAATTTCAAAAATCTAGTAACATCTGCAAATAGGGTTCAATAGATTTTTTAATGATCCAAATCCAGCAACAATTCTATAAATATAAAAAGATTCATTTTCAAAAACACACAGTGCAGTACTCAACAATGAAACGATCCTTACAAACTAGACCCCTGATACCTCTCTAATCAAAGAGGTAATACAAAATGGATCAGGAGGAGACTGTTCTTGTAACCACGGCGCATTGACTACCATTAAGATATCTTCTGTAGTATTTTTACTCGGCTTCTATGTCTACAATATTGTAAGAAGAAAGTTCACGAGCATCAGAAACTTGCAGACTTCAAGATTTCAAAAGTTTTTCTTAACCATCTCTACTTATTCAACAGGGAAAAATCTGGTGGAGGAGGTCGAGTAAGGGAACAGCATCATGTTGGCTTTGGCCACTTCTCCAAACTGTAAAACCTGGATAGAAGTAATCAGCATCACTCCACCGTTTCAGGTCGTACAATGAGAAGGGACCTTGAATGATCCCCTGAGGATCCACATAGTGCCATATTTGAGGATTGCATAGATCCCCGAAAGCAATGTGTTGACCCTCAATTTTTGAGTTTTGGGGTGGCAATTCATCATCACTCAAATCAATCACCTCCTGTTTCTCCGGCTTTTTTTGAGTGGCCTTTTCTTCCAAATCCACAATCGTCATCAGTCCATAGTTTCCATTGACGGGTGGCTCAGAATGCTGCATCTCTATTTGAACAAAGTCAGATTGTTGATCCTCTGCATTCATTTGTTGGTATTAGTAAGGGAACAAAAAGGGCTGCAAAACTATAGAGAAGATAGATCAAATATAGCAAACTATGTCAGCTGTTAACTTCAATAAACTATATAAGAAATTCAATACGTATAAACCTGCAAAATGAAAAACAATCTAGAGGCTTAGGACATTCAAATCATTTTTGCCCTGTATTACTAGCTAAGATGCTGGTGCTGGGATAAGGTTGTCATCATTTATTACTGTTGCGACTGCCAAAGCATTGAAAGTAACACAAGTGAAAATAGAGAACCAGACTTTGTATTTCTTCCACTTGTTTAAAAGTCTCATTGGCTTCGGTTACCAAGTACATAAGTAGTTGAGGATTAAAAAACTATATTTGGGATTCCAAATAGTAGTCCATCTATTCAATTTGGAATAAATCCCAACAAAGATATCATTCTTTGCCTGGCAGCAGCTTCATAAACTGTTACATTGGATGAAATATTACGAATAAAGGGTCATGCAAGAGTTGAGTATGTGTCCCTATGTATGTCAAAGATGCATTGGTTATTATTTATTTCCATGCTCAGTTCAAACAAGGTTGCTGTCAATAGTAAATGTTCCATCTTTCTCCCTAAGGTGACAATTTGTTTTGCTATCTCCAAAGCTATCTAATTACTATAATATTCATGCCTTGAAACGAATGAAATTATATCTTCTTGTCTCTTTTTCTAGTCCTATCATTACTTGATTGGGCTCGAATCCTTGTAGCACATGCTCTTGGCCATAAAAATACTTCAACACCAGTTGTCAGTTGCCAACTTTCAAAGTTCCATATATAGATAGCTTGTAACTGTTTTAGTGTGGGTTCTTTTGACTACATATATAAATAAAAAATCCATAACATAGCTTCTGTACTTTTAAGCGTATGGAAAAAGAGAAGAAAACATAATCCAAGTATGGAGCAATTAAAAGGTGATTGAATTACCACCAGGATCATTAGCAGCTATGACTCCATACACGAAGCCTCCATATTGTTCTTTGCCAGCTTTTGAATCATTTACAATAAGTTGGGATGGTGACACAAGATCCTTGATCCCTGGAATGCATTACAGAACTGAATGAGAAGATGGCAGAGTACATAACTGCAAATATTTGACCGGTGTAATAAATGGCTTCATTGGATGGTATATTACAAATTAATGGTCTGCTTTTAAATCCTAGAAGTCAGAGAGTTACATCTCGAAAATAAATATTATTGGCAGGCCGTTGATTATATGGATATAACCACTCGCACACCCACGTGCCACATTTCAAGAGTCAGAGACTTCATCGAAATCCTGCTGCCCAAAAAAAAGGAAAGCACCCACAGCATACAAGTGGAGGAGTCTTTAGGTAGTCTTTCCCTATTTCCGAGCTTGGTTGGTTAGCTCCTTTCGTACTTGTATTGTATTTGCTTCTTGTTGCCTACACCATAACAAACTTTGCCGAAACGTAGACCGCAATCAATGTT